TTTGATGTTGGTGGATTTGAGTCTTTTCCATTCTGGTTCGATTTTTGTGTATTTTCGCTGGAGTGTCTTGTATAGATTTCTTCACTGGGCTTCTTCTTCAGCTTCCGCACCCTCATGGTCATCCTCATTTTCTTCATCATCATCTTCATTAGCAGCAAGTTTTACTTTTTTCTGTGGAAGCTCACTACCACCTTTAGGGGCAGATCACTTTCCAGATATACTTAAGAACTTCATATTCTCCTCCTCCTCATCTTCTGACTCTGCATCTTCCTCCACAGCTACTAAGTGCTGTCCACTCATATGCACTTGCCCTGAACCATGCTTCAACCATAAGCATAGGTGATGGTATTTCAAAGCCTATGATGGAAACTGTTGGCTGTGCAGACATTTTCGAAGTTGCCAGTGTTACTTTTAATTGGATTGCCTTTGTATTTCATTGCTTCTGCTTCAACAATGTGCAATTCATTATATGTACCGACCCCTAAACTGACCATTCATAAAGAAAACTGGTGCCCATTTTCATCATTATCCACATTAAAGTGATAACCTTTGTTAGATTTAGTTCACAACTGAAAAGATAGTTCCGAGGCCTCAGGGGGCTCATGACCATGTCTGTCGTATATTCCATGGGGCTGTGGCATGCACTTATGTGAGAGAGACGACAAATGGAGATAAATGACTCCTGCTCTAGAGAACAAGCACACAGGACAGAATCACACCAGGACTGAAGTTTCTAAAATTAAATTATCAATATGCATATTATATATAAATAGTGTAAACATCTACATGTAATTTATAAAAACTGATAACAAATACCTAGAATACATCTATCTGAAAATATGACCATATTCAAAAAAATTGTAAAATATTTTTAGAGAAGTTAACAAAGATGTAAGTAAATTAAATAATATATATATGGATTAGAGGTCGAAATATTGGGATGATCCCACTTCTTTTCAAATTGGGCTAAAGATTAATTTCAATGCCTTTCAAAATCTCATTCCATTTTATAGTCATGCTGTTACTTTTTCTTCCTGCTCAATTGGAAGCAACGTTTTTCTCTTCTAATTATTGGCATGGCCATTCTGCCTCTGCTTGCCCTGGGTCTTTGTTTCTTTTCCATTTCCCTGCATTTCTGATCTATAGAAATATCTGCCTACATGTCAGGAAACCCTACCAATGCATAGGAGAGAATAATTGTCTGGAAATTATGCAAGGGCAGTTCACCTTAGAAAACAAAATGAATTATCATTGCTGTTCTGATTCTTCATCTTAAAACCATACTCTGATTACAGCAGCCAACCAAAAGGAAGAACCCATTTTGTTTTGGCTTGTTAACTGTGGAGAGCAGAACAAAGGTCATCTCTTCATGTTTTTTCTTCAATCAACCCTCCATTTATTCAACATTTAAAAAATGTCTTTCCTATGCAGTCTCCATCTTTGACTTTAAATGGCTCACAACGAAGTAGAGAATGGGAAAAAATGACTTATTACCATGTAATGTATTTAGTAAATAAGAGGATTTGTGGGGAAAAGGGCTATAGGAGTAGAATAAATTTGCTCTGGTAGAGAATTTCAGGAGCAGGCAATATTTGTGCTGGTCCTTGAATGCTTGGTAAAGTTTCACCAATTCAAAGAAGAATGAAGAAAAGATAAGAAAGAGGGAACAGAATAAATAAAGGCACAGAAATATTAAGACACTTGGGAATTTAAAAATATTTGGGAAACATCAAAACATAACAAAAACACTAATGAGACTATTTAATAGATCCTTTGCTTGCTTGATGTATACATCCATCCTTGTACACCTGTTACATTTGCAAAGGCTTTGTTTAGCTTCTTTTATGTTTTGTTCTGAATCATGCAAATGAAAACATCAGTGAGCTGTTTTTCATGTCTCATCAGTACAGCATAAATTTTAAAACTCTTATTCAACAGCATCTCCAAGAATATCCTTCACCTATTTCTACAGATAAACTGTAGGCAACTAAAATGATTTTTGATGATTCAAATGATCTGATTCTAAATAACCTGGAAATTACTTTTAAGATGATAATGGCCACAATTTTATGGACTTTTATGGTGTTTTAAAGTAGCTATGATAACGTAGAATGTGAACGGTGTATGCAACTTAACAAACATCTGAATCATATCAATACATTATCACAACTTTCTGAAAATGATGTAGAAAAATAAACTTCCCTGTCACTGATCCTGAAAATTTGTGTAAAGAATTGCTGTGAGTAATACTTGTGATTAAGTTTGAGATATAATTAAGCTGGATCAGAGCTTTAAGTGTCAAGAGATTGTGTTAAAGTTATCTTAGTGTATTCTCAATAATTATCATGGAGTTATAAGAGACACTAGATAACTTAACAGTATTGCTTGACAAAGATGGCATGATGGGTGTGTGCTGTTTCCTACATTTGCATATGCTTTATCTTTCTGTAACTTTTTGCATGTGAAAATTGTCTCGTTTGTATAAATTACTTCCTTATTTGTCTTTAAATAATTTTTATAATGCTGATTTGCCTCAATAGCCAATGTTTTTGTTGTATCTAATCACCTAAATCAAATACATGGCAAAACGTTACCACATATTCTTATTTTCTATTCCAAATTTCTTAAAAAATGAATATTTATTTCATATTATTTTATTAGTTATTAAAGTATGAATAATGACCAACACTCATACATATTTATTAAGTGGATGCTTCAGTCAGATGTTGTTAGTGCTTATAATTGTGAGTGATTAAATAAATAACTCTAGAAAAGACAACCCAATTCTGTGGTCCCTCCATACAAGATTTTAATTTTATAAAAACAGACTCTAAATGCCACTTGCCTTTTGCCAATGGAGACAATATTATCCATTGCATAGCTACGAGAGAAAAAATAAAGAAGCTATATTGAGAACTTTCTGAATTCAGCTCTGTCTGTATGTATACACTTAAAATGAAACAAATTGGAGCAATTTACTGAAGGTTAAATCCTCTAAATGACATTCAACTAAAACATGCAGAGAAATGATTTGGGAGGTTTAAATGATCAATTTAATTGCCTTAAGTCTCTGGATTGCTTTTCAAAGTAGACACAACCCTTTTGCATCTAACTGAAGATTCTAAATTGGGGGTTCAGGGTTGTTTGTATTTTACTAAGTCACTTATGCTTTCTATATAACCCCAGTCTTTAAAATAGCCCAGACCTCAGTGTGCAAGAGTTCAGAAGTTAGATGTTTGATCTGCCTGTAGCTTTCCAGAAGCCAGCACCTTTCAATTTGTCAGCATTTTTACCCCGAAGTCACAGGGAGGCTTTTTGAAGAGCTAAATATGCTGATATCGCCTCGTGCTTTTGTTCTTAAATATTGGAACAGAGACAGTCATTTCAAGGTGTTTTATTAGTAAAACCTACCTGGTTTCTGTTAAAATTATATTCTCTAAGCTCCAAGAAAGAAGCGAAAAATTATTTATGAGCAAAGCAGCTCGCTCAACCTTGTCTAATGCATAAGAATTTTCCAAGTAAACTTCAGTTTATGATTCAGTAGTTAAGTTGAGAGAGTGTTACTAGACTAACAAATTCTTTAAGATATAATTTGAAACACTGGATTTTAAAAATGATTTTAACAAATTTAAAAAGTTTCTTTCAGAACCTTGTACTGCCACTGAGTGATGATGGTGATTTTTTTTTTCCTCTCACCAAACTGTATTGAAAATAAACCTTTTGATGTTTTAAAGGTTTTTCTTTGGCAGCTAAGAAAAACACTCTGGAAAGTTATAGTTAGTGAATTTACCCATGTATAAATATCCCTGAGCTACTCTGTTATCCTATGGCATCTGGAATAAAGGTGCTATTGTTTTAGATTTCATGATTGAAGAATAGAATAATCAATTCAGAGAGACCCTGAGGGGAAGATTCACTCACATATGCTGTGGAAACTTGTAATCCCTGTGTTTTGTTAGTTTTTCTTACAGATGAAGAGACATAGATGAGTTCATGCTTTGATACATCTAGTGACATCGCTTTCCATTCACACCAAATTATAGTTTGAGCACCAGTTTATATTTGAGATGATTAACCTTAACATTTCTAGGAAAACTACTTTTTTGTTAATCCTTTTGTTACTATTATTTTATTTGCTTTTTGGGTCACAATAGCTGGACAGCTATTTTATTTGCAAAGGCCCCAGCCATGCACTTTCTGCTGTAACATGCCAAGCTAATCACCACAGCATTCTGAGGGATGTATTATCAGACTTAAGTCTGACAACTAGGCTCCATAAATTATTGAAAGCTTCTTTTCATTTCTTGCAAAACAGTGTTTGCTGAGCTTCTCCATGAAAAATTAGTGTAATTCCAGAAGATTATGATAAATTTGCAAGGTAGGAATTTGGCCTGTGCTTACACACAGACATCTGCATAGTTATGAATAAAATAGAAGTTAAATGAAACTGTACAGTTACTTTACATTTGGTTATTTGAAACTTTTCTCTATTACTTTATTCAATGGCCTTTGAATAACAGCAGCTGTGTCTCCTGGCTTTCTCTCGTGAAGTGTCCAAATGTGTAAGGTGGTTAGATGTAAAAACACTGCAAAAGTATAGATAATAGACTAACCGCTTTCTGTCTATAGCAACTTCCCTGAGGTTTTGTTTGCAGGGCCCAGCTGCGTATACAGACATGATGGAATTTGGTTTGTCAGGAACCTACAAAAATTACAGAAATAACTCAGATTTGTAATGAATAATACACAGACATGCACCTGCTTCAGGGACTTCATAGATTAGTCTTGCGACCAATGGAAAAGCCCCTTGGAATTCAATTACATGGATGTAAAACAGTTATTTTCTGGCTACACTTTTAGAACTAATATCAGCAAAATGTTAACTAGTTCTTGGAGCAAGGTTTTCCTGAGGATTAGGTTGTTTCAATTTGCTTTGCTTCTGTGAGACTTACTATAAAGTCATAATATTCTGCTCATTTTATTATCTACTCTTCTTGCAGCTGGAGCCACTTGCAGAAGATGTTCTCCACCAAAGCCCGAATATGAATGCTGTTATTTCTTTACAGAAGATCATTGAAATTCAAAGTATGTCTTTAAAGTTTTTTTAAAAATTCGAATTGGGTAAAACTAACAAAAATTACATTGAGAATTACAGTACAAAGAAACACTTCTTCAGAGTTATTATAATTTGCACATATGTTCTTATGTATTTTCTTACTGTGTTGCTCTTAATGCAGCACTCTTATCTTACACTAATGACATAAAGTAGAGGCTCTAGATTTAGAATCTTATTTTTTTCAGATATTTCGGGCATTTGGATTTTTTTTACTGTTATGACCGCTAAGCATGTACCCAGAACCATGAAATAAATGCAGAAATTGTGATTTTTATAATCCAGTCTGAATGAAATTTAGTTATCGCCTAATGATGTTGGAATCCAGCAATCATTTACTGATTTATATGAGTCAGAAAAGGAAAAAAATTAATGAGAAAGCCTCTGTATGGGAAAATCGAACTTAACAAAGTAGGGTTAAGTCATAGACTTTTTAGACCATCCAATTCCCTTCACACATATACATACATGCACATACACATGAGCACACAAACATGTTGAAATCAAGCCCAAATTAACATGAAGATCAGCATGAAGAGAAAAACCAAAGGGTAAAATTAGGTGTCAAGGAGAATTAGGAAAGCCTGTAGCTTTGTTACTGTCCTGTAGAAGCATTTATTAAGTGCCACCTTAAGAAGCCACTTTCCAGCACTCTCTGGGGTCATTGCCTTTGCTTGTTCAGTAGCAGCTTGGAGATATGGGTTGACTGGAGTTAAATTATCCATTTATCAAACACTGTGAATATTTACAAATCAGCCACACAGGAACTAAAGGTAATTCTCCACTTAATCTCACTCATGCTGGGACTGAGGGCCATATGTACTCCACAAATATTTATTGACTACACGTCATAACTAAAATAAACTATGAATTTCAAAGACTTTTAGGGAACAGAAAAATAAACATTCAAATGCTGGGGTGCACTATTCGAGCCTCTGACATAAGCCTAAAGTAAAGGAACTGACAGAGACAAAGAAGAGAAGGCAGGAGGTGGTTTCATAAGCTTGAGAAGAAAATCCTATCATTGTCTTGCCTTTGTTTTATTTCCAGTGGGGCTAGACAAAGAGGGTCTATTAGGTGTCATTGTAGGTTTCAAAGCAAGGAATCTTGAAGTCATCTTCAACAGCATTCTCCTATTCATCCACGTGCAATCCAATGTCCCCTTTCAGGTCATTAATAGAATGAAAATATCTTAGTCTTTATACGTATTATTATCTTTTTCTGAGCATTGTTTAGCCAATTATATACACAAACTGTTAAAATTGATTGGTCCCATGTATATTCTGAGCATATTACTTCAATAGGGATTTTTGAGTTCTTATTACATGTTGATCAATTACCAAGGCACAGAGGTGATGAAGAGGAATAAGGCATAGTTTCTGCATCAAGGTGCTTACAGTCCAGTGAGTGATAGAACAGCTAGTAAATAATTCCAATACAATATTCACAGAGTACACTGAGGTCATGGAAAAGGGGTGGTCTTTTTCTTCATTCCCTTTCAACTGGAGGTGAGAGGGATTGGAAAGTAAGGAAGGCTGCTTGACAGCCGTATAGCGTGAGCTTGGTTCTTAAGTGCTGAACAACATGTTGAATAACTGAAGAAAGAGTGAAAATGCTTTGAAAGGAACAACAGAAATGAAGCACTCTATTTCCACAGAGGTATAAAAAGTCATAATTTCTGTACATCTTTAGAAACTCCACTGTTGCCTTTGTATTTTATCTAATTTCCTAGTAATGACTTTCTGCTGCATAGTTTTTTCCTTTTACCATTAATGTCTTCAAGTGACCTTTGCAGTCTGCTATAGCCAAACAAACCTGTTTGATTCTCAGAAAAGACTCACTCTACTATCAAAAGTTGCTGTAGGAGTATCCTGCCACTAAGGATTGTCAATTCCACTCTTCTGCCCCAAACTGCATTTTACACCAGCCAACACTGACCACTTGACTGTGAAATCCATTTCCTTCTAAGCTTTTATTGAGTACCCTACCCAGCTTGGAGCATTATTGCTGATCCAATAATGCCAAAATTTCTCAAGACAAATGTGTCGTTCATTGGTATGTTTAATTTTAATGTTTCCCTTATTTGAATTTTATTTATTTAAATGTCTGTTTGTTCTGGTTCCTAAATTTGAGGATAATCATCAGGAGGACAGGAATCATACTGTTTAGTCACTGGATGTACCTCCAGGAAGCACTGGCAGCAGATTTGAGGTACATAGGAGACTAGGAATGAAAAGCAGGCAAATTTGAGTAGGTAGGACTTGAATAATTCTTCAAGACCATAAGTAACAAAGGCTATAAGCAACCAGAGCTCCTCCTTCTGAGTCAGGGATATATGGTGTAGTGGGCACTGTTTTTGGTATACCCAGAAACAGTGCACTCCTCACATCTACTCAAAAGGAGTCTGGTTTTATTCATAAATCTTTGTTACCAGATACCATGCAACTCAGGGGAAGTTCGCTTAGCTCCAACTCCAGGGGAGCTGTTTTTAGTCTAAGTCAGTCAACCCACCTAACAGTGATTGGTTAAGAAATGGGTACATGACCCAATTCAGGCCAAGGAAAATCAGGACAAGCTTGATGGGCATTCAGCCTGCATGGTCACATATGTCCCCTGCATAAAAGGGCCCCATCCTTAGTGTAAGGCTCTTGCTGTTGCTACCTTAAAATTTTTACAGAGTTTTAAAGAAGCAGTCCACGTTTTCATTTTATATCAGGCCCTACAAATAATGTAGGCAGTCCTGGTGAAAGTCAAGGTGATAGTGATGCAAAAAAACGTTTACCAGGAAGGAATGAGAACTTAAATGTCAGTTAAGTTGGACATTTTCAGTTGAGAGGGATCTGAATAGTGGGTTGAGGTTGTAAAAAGAAAGAAAACACAAGACAGGAAAGCAATCTCTCATTTGAGAAATGGCATGAATATTGGTAGAGAGGAAGTGTTTCAGCACTGCAGCTTTGACTCCTGTGTGGTGCATTTTTATGTGATTATAATTGCATGTCTTTAGGGCCACTCTTCTAGACTAAAGGAACAGAAAAGAGCCCTCTGATGTCCACTGAGCAATAAAATGGAGTGTGTATTTCAGAGTCTCAAACTTCGTAATGGCTTGGGAAATTTAAATTATGGGCTCCCTGCTTAGGAAACAGGAAACAGTGCTTGATTTCCTGTTTTAGATCCCATGCTTCCATTGCACCTGCTGTTTTGGTACTCCAGGACCCTAATTGTGTTCTTTCTTTCCCCTTTGGCAGAGAAAGTGGTAGGGACAGGTTACATAATTTGTGAGACCCAGCTCAAAATGAAACTGTGTGAACTCTTCCTTGTTAAAAAAAATTAGTAATTTCTAGAGGGTGACAGCAAAGTGCTGAACCAAGCATAGGGTCTTTCTGGGAGTGGGGCACTTCGCAATTGCACAGGTTACCTGTTATGAAGCCAGCCCTGAAGGTAGTCTTTGTTCAGCGGGAGTACTTCCTCTTCACATCTGTCTCTGAGTGTCACACAAGTGCCTCCTTTCAACTTTGGGGGGTGTTCAGATTTCAGCCCACCTCCTAGCCCAGGTTCTGAAGGGTTCTTTTGTGCTGCAGTTTGGAACACAGTATCAGAAAACTATGTTACTGTTGAGAAGCAGGCCTTGTAGCATGTGGGAAACATTCAGGCAAGTTTCTAGATAGCCTTATCCCAAGGCACATGGCAAGGTGCTGACAGGTCCCTGTGAATTTCTTTTTGAGATCTGAGCCCCCCAGCTGAGGGTATGCAGGTGCTGGACACTGTGATTAGCATTGGCTCCTTGCCTGGCCACATGTATGTGAATATTTTCCAACAGGATCATTTATGTTGTCCTGTCCTTGTTTATGTTGCTCATCTAGATGAGGAGAGAAGGCCTTACAAGGCCACAGCAGGGGAACCATTTCTCCTGACAGGTGAAGACCCTTCCTGACAGGAGAGGGTTTGGTTCCATCTTAAGATGATAGATGGCATACAAGGGTCAACTGTCTTTGAGATGACAAAATGGAAAAAAGTTTCATATTATTCCTTAAGAAATTAAAAATAGAACTACGATATGATTCAGCCATCTCACTTTCTGAAGACTTATCAAAAAGAATTTAAATTAGAATCTCAAAGAGATGTTAGCACTCCCATGTACATTGCAGCACTATTTACCATAGCCAAGAGATGGGAGCAACCTAAGTGTCCATCAGTGGATGAGTGGGTAAAGAAAATGTTGTATAGAAATAAAGTAGAATATTATTCAGACCTCCAAAAGGAAATTCTGCAACATGTGGTAACTTAGCATAATATCTTTTGATGGCAGAGATTATTTCTGCTGTGTTCCTGTTTGTTTTTAATTGCCATGTCTTTTGCACAGTCTTTGGTATGTACTAGGTGCTCTGCAAATGTGTGTTGAATGAATGAATCAGCTAGTCTTTCAATGTTTGCCACATTTTTTCTCCTAAGCCTGGATTGATTTTGGTAACTAACCTCACATATTTATACTCCTTGGCACACTCATGCAGAATGAGGGATTAAGAAGACCAAGGAAAATACACGAGAGCTAATTTCTTCTCCTTCCTTCACAACCCACTAGGATGAGTCATTCCTAAATTAGGAAGAACATGGATTATTTTTCTGAGTTGCCACTTCCATAGGTAAGCTTAGGGTGACAATTCTCAAAGCTGGATCTAGTACTTGGCTGGCTGTAATAGTCAACAAGTGATGCCAGTAACGAGTCAGCCCAGAGTGAGATGAAGAACTCTCATATGGATGTTTCCTTTCCTGAAATGCACCCTGATGATTTACTGTGTGCATGCAACACTGAATTCTTTCATTCTTCTGCATGGCATGAGAGCACCAGGGTTCTCAAACACCACTCTTTTTTTTTTCTTTAATTTTTTATTGGATTTTAGGTTTTGGGGTACATGAGCAGAGCATGCAAGACAGTTGCGTAGGAACACACATGGCAGTGTGCTTTTCTTTCCTT